GAAGATAATTTTCTATTGCTTCCTCATTTTCTCCCCGCGTTGGGAAAATTAATTTTCCCTCGAACTCCACCTGTTTTGAAGCACTATCAGTTTGTTTGACATCATCAATTGTCACCTTATCAATTATGGCATATTCATCAAAGGTAACATCTCTGTTGAATATAATTTGTCTTGTCTCTAGACACCATAAGTGGTATCCTTTGACTCCAGAAGTAATCCCATAAACATAGCTTTCTTTGCTCGCGGATCTAATTTTGACTCTTTCACGTGATAGTATGCAATTGAGCCAAATATATGCAAAAACTATAATCTTCAGCAGGTTTTCCATGCCATTTTTCAAATGGTGTCTTGCTACCAATAGCAGCATATGGTAAACGATTAATGAGGTGATATGCATATGTTATTGCCTCAGCCTAAAATTCTTTGCCCAAGCCAGCATTGGACAACATACACCGAATCTTCTCCAATAAAGTCGGTTCATACGTTCTGCCACTCCATTCAGTTGTGTATTTCTGATGGTGAAATGTCTCAAAATGCCATCATCTTCACAAATTTTATTGTAAAGATCATTTTTGTATTCTTCATCGTTGTCTGTTATCTTTCTGCCTGTTTGAGTCTCTATCATCGCCTTCTATTTGAGAAAAATTCTCAGCACCTCATCTTTGGTTTTCATAGTATAAACCCATACTCTCCGGGAAAAGTCATCAATAAAGGTTACAAAATAGTGTTTCCCACCTAATGAAGGTGTTTTGGAAGAACCCCAAACATCAGAGTGAACGTAATCCAAAATACCTTTAGTATTATGGATAGTTGTTCCAAATTTAACCTTGTATGTTTCCCCTTGACACAATGCTCACAAAATTCCAAATTGCAAGTCTTTACTCCTTTTAACAATCCTTTATCTGATAAATTTTAAAGGATTTTCCTCCGGTATGTCCCAAGCGCATGTGCGATAGCTCGGTTGCTTCTGCCTCCTTGTCATCACTGGATATCGTTGTTGTTGTCCCAATAAATGTACTACCATGATAGTGGTACATGTTATTATTTCGCCGAATTCCCTTTATTACCACTAGTGCACCGGAGCATATTCTTATTATCCCATTTTCTGCAATGACTTTAAACCCCTTTGACTCTAGGGCTCCTATGGAAATAAGATTTTTCTTCAATTTCGGTACGTATCAAACATCTGTTAATGTTCTGATCAATCCATCATGGTTTCTTAATCAGATTGAACCAATACCATATTCAGTAAGAGGATTATTATTTGTGGTGTGAATAACTCCACATTCTCCTTCTTGAAAAACGAACCAGTCCCGGTTGGGATACTTATGATAGCTACAAGCTGAATCCATCAACCATATGTCACATGGTTTGAATGGCTCAGTTGTAACTAGTGAAAAATTAGAGTCATCACAATCAGCTACATTTGAATTCATGATAACCTTCCCATTGTTAGGTTTGGACTTGTTTTTCAACTTTGGACAGTCTGTCTTCCAGTGCCCCTTTTCTCGGCAAAAGTCGCATTCATCTTTGCTGGATCTGGATCTTGACTTTGATCTTCATTTCTTCATTCTAATCTGGTTTTGAGAACGACCCCTCATGATCAATGCTTCTCCTTCTCCACTCTTTTGCTTTTCTCTCTTTTTTTTGTTCGTAGCTGTATAAGGCAGAACAAACTTTTTTGAGAGATACTTCATCATTCCCATGAAGTAGAGTTGTTTCAAGGTGCTCATACTCATCGGAAAGTGAACTTAATAACATTTAGGCCATATCTCCATCACTAAAAGTCACGTCCATATTCTGCAAATCTGTCGCCAACTTATTAGAGCTAGTGATACGATCATTCATTGCAGTACCAGGAACATATGTGAAGCGTAACAGTCTTTCTTTCATGTAAAGTTTATTTTGACTGTTTTTCTTCAAGAATTTATCCTCCAATGCATTCCACAATTTACTTGCAGAAGTTCCTTTTGTGTATGGATACTTCTGTTCTCTTGCGAGGTAAGATCGAATGGTAAGCAATGCGATTGATAATCTTCCAATCTTCTTCTCCGATATTGTTTGGGTTTTTTTTTCTTCTATGGCAATATCTAGCCCTTATTGAAAAAGGACATCAAGAACCTCAGCTTGTCAAATCCCGAAATGTCTTGACCCGTCAAAATTTTCAACTGCAAATTTCGCATTTGACATAATTCTTATCATAAGCGAAGAAGCCAACGGCGTATTATTGACACTCGATGTGGACTCTTCATTTTTCTTGTCTCCCATTTTTTGCAATAAATACTATTTATTTGTTGACACTACAGAATACCAAAGTCATTCCTTTTAGATGTGGAAGTTCAGACTATACTGCAACCACAGAGCATACTCAGATAGAACCTTGGCTCTGATACCAATTATTGCGGAAGCCAAATATATAGAGAGTTCTTAAATCACAATTACTATATCTAAAGGTAACTAAAAAATAGTACATGAGACAATAATAAAAGGAACACCATAAATTTACGAGGTTCAGCAAAATTTGATTTTTGCCTAGTCCTCGGACACAATCAACTCAAACTTTTTTTTACTCCAAAAATACAAGTGAAATACTACAAGAGAGAAAGAAGATTCAAATGTCTTATTAGGAGATAAGAAGGAAAGTGAGAGATGTTTTACAAATGAACAAAACCCTTGCTATTTATAGAAGGGAAATGACCTTAATAATATCATGCATGACATCGCATTAAGTGTAATCATGCAATTAAATGCATGAAAAATTGCATCTACCAATTTCCTCCTAAAATGAGGCTTCCGAATGTTCACACTAGTTCACATTAATCGTGTCAAATTCAACATAGTATAATATGATATGATATGATATGATTAATGAAAAATAGGATGCCTCTTGACAAGCTCGTGAAAAGATTCAACATACATGGCCCTTCTAGATGTTCTTGTTGCAGAGACTTTAAAAAGGAAACCCTGAAACACTTGTTTGGGGAAAGTGAGATAGCTACCAATGTCTGAAATTTTTGCAGTATCTGCAGTGGGATTAAATTCAATCCTACAATAAGGAAAAATATAATACAATGGTGGTTACACAAACCAATCAACAAAGCACAAGAGGTAATATTTCAATGCCTACCTATTGTTATATGCTGGGAGCTATGGAAATCTAGGTGCAAAGCTAGATTTGAGGGCATTCAAATTTCTACAAGGTATGTAATTGGCCAGATCAATTATATCACGTTGTTATTTTTGAACTCCACCTTTCCTTCCATCCCTTTTAATGGGATGTCAGAAATATGTGCCACTATAGAGAAGGTGAAGCATAATATTTGGATTAAAATTATCAGTTAAATCAAAAGAAGGGAAGCTTCAGTATTCATGTATAGTCATTTAGGCTACTTTTTGGGATCACCAAATTTAATCATTGTAAAGGAGCAGTCCTCCCCAGTTAACTTTTGCGTTAGTCTACTTTTTGGAGTAAATTTTATGTGTGGTCATTCAATTTTATGTTCATTACATAAAAGTGATTTTTTTTCTTTTTATTACGTAAAAATTATTCAACTTTGTATTCATTACCCTAAAGTTACTTTTCTTTCTTTTGTTACATAAAAATTATTTTACTTTGCTCTACTTATCACAAAAGTCACCTAATTGGCCAAATTTATGATACTTTTACTTGATAAGTCTATTATGTCCTTGACATTATAAATCCTCTCGTTTATGTAATACATTTTATATTATATACTATATAATATATTTTTACCTAAGTATTTTACTTATAATTAAAATAACTTTAAATTATTTTATTTATTATTTTTATAATATATCTATACATTTAGTTTTTTCATGGCACTCAATTTGTTTAATCATATTCAAACATGAACATATTTTTAATATAAAAATGATAAAAAAAATATTTATCTTTTTAATATTTATTTAAAATAATAAAAATAGATTTGTTTAACAAATGATAGTTTTTTATAGTCAATAAAAATATTTTAAAAAATGCAAATATATTTGCGTTTAATATTAAATTTTTTAAAGATTTATCTATTAATATATTTATTTGAAAGTATTAATTTGATATATCATTTTGTTAAATGTGGCTATTTTATTTATTAAATTAATGGATATGGCTTGGCTGATAAATCAATGAGCTTTGATTTTTTATTTTTTATTAAACATATTTCATTAAGCATGATTAAGAACGTGGACTTGAGATTTGTTTACGGTAATGTTACTGACAAATTTAATAATATTACTTATATATCTTAAAACTTAATATTAAAAAAAATGTACGAATATATTATAAAAATAATAAATAAAATAATATTTCGTTATTTTAATTATTATAAGTAAAATACCTGGGTAAAAATATTATTATGTAACATATAATATAGAAGGTATTACATAAATGAGATGATTTATAATGTCAAGGGCATAATAGACTTTTCAGGTGAAAGGTTTGTAAAATTTGGTCAAAACAATTATTGTGATAATTAGTGCATGGTAAAATAATTTTTGTGTAACAAAAGAAAGAAAAGTGATTTTTCGATAATGAACACAAAGTTGAATGATTTTTACGTAACAAAAAAAGGAAATGTGACTTTTGGATAATCAACACAAAATTAAATAACCACCCATAAAAATTACTCATACTTTTAGTCTATAATAATAACATAACTTTCCTGATAGGCTTTATATATGGAAAGTTCATCTGTATAGGATTAATGTTGTTCATTCCTTAATTAGGATGAAAAGGTTAGGCAAAATGTCCCCCTCTCAAATATATACTTTTTGGGTTACTAATCTACAGGGGTACTGCCAAACCTCCCTCCACCTCAACTAGGCTTTTGAGGAGAAAAAAAAAGTAATCACTTTCGAATATGCCTAACATTATTTGCATGAATTCCACTATCTCCAAAAATTACAGATGAATAAATTGACTGACGGGAATATTATAGTTCTAAAACGAGTCATAAAAATTTATCGATAGTCACATCAACGCATAGCCAGACCGCTTTCTTCTCTGGAAATGGCCACATCTTCTATGAATGGTTACGCACAACTTGCGTGGCTTTGCCATGTACATGAATCATGATCTCTAATTTTTTATAAGATCTAAACACGTAACAGTTAAGCATAAAACTCATTTTTTTTTATTGTTATTGCATGTGCCGTTCTGTGCACCTAAAATAAAGGATCTGACAGAGTCACAAAGCTGAACAGATCAAGATCTTCGATTATGGCTGAAACAGAAGTTTGTGGTGGTGATAGAAGATGGTCTCTCAGAGGCATGACTGCACTTGTTACTGGCGGTACTCGTGGCATCGGGTAATTAACCTGTTACTAACTAGTACTATCGAGAGCGTCTTGGAGCAACGGTCAAGTTGTCTCCGTGTGACATATAGGTCACTTAGGTTACGGGTTCGAGCCGTGGAATACTTGCACCAGTGTAAGCTGGAGTCTTGGAGCAACGGTCAAGTTGTCTCCATATGACGTATAGGTCACAGGTTCGAACCATGGAATTAGCCACTGATGCTTGCATCTTGGTAGGCTGGCAATATCACACCCTCTTGAATATAGGGATGGATTTAAGGAGGCAGAAGGGGGTTCGTCGGAACCCCATTCGCCAAAAAAATATACTATATATCTATAAGGCAAAATCTGTTTTGTACCTTTATATATTATATTTTGAATCCTTTGAACACAACCTAAAAGCATAGCTTAATGGTTAAGGGGGCTCAAACTTCTATGAGGTTGTTAGTTCAATTTCCCTTGGCCGCAGTTTCTTTTAATTTTTTACTTTTTTGAACCTCCTTAGCGGAAATGTTACCCTGCCACTACTTGAGTGCGGCCCTTCCCCGGACTATGCGTGAACGCGGATTACTCTGTGCACCAGGCTATCTTTTACTAACTAGTACTACAAAGAGTCACAATTTAATTTGTTGATTTCTTCCATTTTTTAACTTTCTGATCTGGAAATTCTCTCTTTTATATGTATTAGTTATGCTGTAGTAGAAGAGTTGGTGAATTTTGGAGCAGAGGTCTATACTTGTTCACGTAAACAAAATGATCTAGATCAGTGCCTTGAGAAATGGAAGGGCAAGGGGTTGAAAGTATCAGGATCTGTATGTGATTTGTCATCGAGATCTGAACGAGAAAAGCTTATTGAATCAGTCACTAGTTGTTTCAATGGGAAGCTCAATATACTTGTAAGTTTTAAGTTACATCTGGTTTGGATGGTTGATACCGTACTATATTGCATCCTGTTGTTAATTTAAATACAATGTTTGTTTTAAATTGTTACTTAAATTTTATTGTATCGTATCGTTACATTCTTCGATACATAACAACAAAAAGTGTCACTTTATGTAATGACTGATTTGGTGTGGCCGTGTCATTACCTTATTTTTCCTCTCAACTTGCCCTTCTTTAATTTAATTAATCTTATTTTATTCTTTACCTTACCTATTTATATAATAATTCTATCTCGTACTCTATTTTTATTTATAATACTGCAAGTTTATTCTTCATATTGTTGGTACATAACATCATGCGTCGGCAACGATATAATTTATCAAAATATTATATTCATCAAAATAATACATTACAATACAATGCAATAAAATACGATAACCATCCGGACAAGCTTAGGAGGAATATATAGTTTGCTCCCTTAGTTTGAGGTCAAATTTCTTTGACACACCTCTCCAACGCAGTTAATCTTTTACAGAGTACAAGTTTCGGGATATGTGTCTAATACGCACTATTTCTGTCCCTTAAAAGCATATGTCCATTCGTGTCAGCAGCTGAAGCAAAATATTTCTCAAGAAGATTCAAAAAATAAAAAGAAAGTAAACACGTAAAGAAACTAAAAGGATTCAATATTCAATTTTATATATATAAAAAAAGTTAATTTTATATACACAATATAATTTTTGAATAAAGGAGTTCAGCCAAACCCCCTTCTGCCTATCTAGCTCCGCCCCCGATCCTATTTATCTTCATAAAAGAAGTAACTTGCCTTTTTTGGTTCAGGTAAATAATGCAGGCACATCAATACCAAAAGAAGCTACAAATTTTACTGCAGAAGATTATTCAATTATAATGGGTACCAATTTTGAGGCTTCTTACCACCTATGTCAACTTGCTCACCCCTTTTTAAAGGCTTCTGGAAATGGAAGTATAGTGTTTACCTCTTCAGTTGCTGGGGTGATTGTCATACCCTTTGCGTCCATCTATGCCGCTTCTAAAGGTAATTATTATCTGACAATTTGGATTTGAGTTATATATACTGTGCATAGGAGCGGAGCTAGGTGACCCCTTCGTCGAAAATTACACTATGTATATTAGGTTACATTTTATTTCATATATATATATATATATATATTGAATCTCCTTAACTTCTTCAAGTGTTTTTAATTTTTATTTTTTGAATCTTTTTGATGAAAATTCTGTTTCGCTACTAACAGTACATAATTAAGATTTTATAGGATACTCGTATAATTTAATCTATACTATTTGGTGAGTTATCATTTTTATCAGGTTCTTGTCATAGAGATTATATGTTAATTAACCGATGCATAGAACTTATAACATGTTTGGCCAAGCTTCATTTTGGCCAAAAATTTTTTTTTTTTTTGGCTAAGTGTTTTTTTGGCCAGAAAGGCTTTTTTAAAGTTAAGGTGTTTGGCCAAGATTTTAGAAGGAAAAGAAAAGCTTATGAGTAGAAACATAAGCAGTTTTTGAGAAGCACAAAAAAAAAAAGTTTTTTCTCAGAAGTACTTTTCTGAAGAATACATTTGAGAAAAATATATTTAGAAGAACTTTTAGGGCCCATTTGTCCATAAAAAATATTTCACTTTTATTCGAAATTTCTTTACTTTTTTCGGAATCAGTGTTTGGCTATGAAAATTTCAAATTTCACTTGAAGATGGATTTCCGATTTCGAAATTTTTCAAAAATTTGAAAAAGTCAAAAAAAAATAATTTTCGAAATTTTCACTTCAAATCACTCACAAAAATTCAAGAACAGCTTCAAATTGTATTAATGTCCAAAC